TCAGAGTCAAGAGAAGCCAAAGATTAATGGGCTTGAACTTCTTCGACTTAAGCTGCTTAGGTCAGGTTTTTGTCCAGGCAACAAAAATCTGACTATACTTGAGTTTGGAAAACATTTTTGAGCTGGGTGTGGTGGGACACATCCGTAATCTCAGTACTTGGGAGGCTGAAGCAGGGAGGAGAGGAGTTCAAACCTAGCCTGGGCTGCGTGAGTACCCTGCCTCAAATAAACAAAAAACGTTGGGAACGTATCATTATTCATAGTTGCTAGACCCTAGAGCCGAACAGCACTTCCTAAGTGATCACACTGAATGTGATTCTCAACTGAAGAGCAATACTTTGTTTGAAATATATAACAACAGGGTAGACGTGATATCTGTACAGCTGATGTATCTAAAGGGGATCTCTTATCCTCCCCTTGAGCCCAAGCTTGTTTGCTGACTCAGGATCGAATGTGGCAAGAAGTCACATGGTGTGAATCCAGAGGCTTAACTCCCTCCTGCTCATTAGATTAGGTAAACTGAGGCCACTGACTGGGACAGTAAGGCCCGCTGACAACGTGTGGTAGCCAAGACCACACATGGGAGCCACAGGAGTTCCTCCAAGTGAGTGAGCTGAACTTCCAAGCCAACTACAGATCATAGAAATAACAGATTGGTGATGGTTAAGGTCACTGAGTTTGGGATGATTTGTTACTCAGTAATAGATGACGGAATCATGTCCTTTAATGCCAGCTAGTGTTGAAGTAGTGGTCTAAACAGTCTTCTAAGGAGGAAAGAATTATTTTAGGTTCATATTTTCCAGGTTGTAGTCCATGTGGCCCAGTCATTTCTGACCTATGGTGTAACAGGTGGCAGGAGCATTGGCAAGAGAAATTGCTCACTCATGAGAGTGACAGATCCATTGTCCTAAATTTCCCTTCATGGAAAGCACACAGTGACCTACTTCCTTCCATGAGGCCGTAACTCTTAAGGTTCCACACCTCCCGTGGTGTCATAGTTTGGAACTAAGCCTTCAAAACATGGATCTTTGGGGAACATTTTTTGGGGGGGTGACACTGGGATTTGAACTCAGGGCCTCATGCTTACTAGGCACATGCTCTACCACTTGAGCCAGTCTAACAGCCCTTTTTCATGCTGGGTATTTTCTAGATAGGGTCTTGAGACCTCTTGCCTGGGTGGCTTGACCAAGATCCTGCTGATCTCTGCCTCCTGAGTAGCTAGGATTATAGACTTGAAGCCACCAGCACCCTGCTCTTTGGGGACATTTAAGATTAAACTATGCAATTAATTAAATATTACTAAATTATTAGGCAGTGTTTCAGCCAGCTTGGTATTACTGCAACAAAATACCCAAAACAATTAATTTATAAGGAGAAAGGGGTTTTATTTTATGCAGTGCTTCAGGTTTAGCCCAGGGCCTTACACATGGCAGGCATGCATTCTACCACTGAGCTACAGTCCATCCCTGAAAGGCTTCATTTTTATTTATTTATTTATTTATTTATTTATTTTGTGGTACTGGAGCTTAAACTCAGGGCCTACACCTTGAGCCACTCTACCAGCCCTTTTTTGTGATGGGTATTTTTGAGATAGGGTCTCCAGGACTGCCTGAGTTTGTTTCAAACCTTGATCCTCCTGATCTCTGCTTCCTGAGTAGCTAGGATTACAGGTGTGAACCACTGGGAGCCGGCATTGTTTTTGTTTAGAGACAGAGTCTGTCTATGTTGCCCCAGCTGGTCTCAAACTCCCTGGCTGAAGCAATCCCCCTGCCTCAGCCTCCCAAATGTTGGGGCTGCAGGTCCGCACCAACTATCGGGCTGAGACAGGGTTTATTTAACTCACAATCTGGGAGCTCAGATCCAGTGTCAGTGGCCCTGCTGCTTTGGTCTATGATGAGGGCAGCACATAAAAATGGCAGGAGCACATGTCAGATAGAGCAGGTCAGGGAAGGCGGGGAGACGAGGGAACCAGGAGAGTCTCATTGTCCTTTGAAGGAGTTGACCTCAATGACATTAGGACTTCCCATAAGTGCGCTCTCTCTCTCTCTCTCTCTTTTTTGTGGTACTGGGTTTGAATCAGGCCTCCCATTTGCTAGGCAGGCACTCTACCACTATTGAGCCACTCTTCCAGTCCCTTTTTCTTTTGTGTTGGGTATTTTTTTTCTTTTTTTTTTTCCCTGTGGTTCTGGGGTTGAACCAGGGCCTACGCCTTGAGCCACTCAACCAGCCAGCCTTTTTGTGATGGGTATTTTGAGACAGTGTCTTGAAGAATGTTTTGCTCAGGCTGGCTTCGAACTTTGATCCTCCTGATCTCTGCCTCCAGGGAAACTACGATTACAGGCCCCATCTTTTTTTGTTTGGTTTTTACTGATACTGGGGTTTGAACTCAGGGCCTCATGCTTACTGGGCAGGTCTCTTACTGCTTGAGCCCACTCACCAGCTCTGTTTCTTTTTTGTATATGTGTTGGGTGTTTTTGAAGTAGGGTCTCCAGAACTATTTGCCTGGGGCTGGCTTCGAACCTCAATCCTCCTGATCTCTGCCTCCTGAGTAGCAAGGATTATAGGCATGAGCTACCAGCACCCAGCTGGCCCCATCTCTTAAAGGTCCACAGCACTCCTAATACTATTGCCCTGGGGACTCACAGTTTTTAAATTTAAGCATTTGGTTACACTCATCCAAACCACAGTACCAAGTTTCAATTACACATATCAACAAAAGGTAGGGTTAGAAGTAAAATGTAGAGAAAGCAGCTGTTGGGGTAAAAATCAGATAATATGTATATGAAATTTAGTAAAAATTACTATGTACATTAAGGACAAATAAATTCTTTCCCTTTGAGTTAATAATGACAATATTAGTTACTTCAGTAACTTAAGAAAAGTTAAAGAGCAAGAAAAGTCTTTTAAAATAACAGTTCAGGGTTGGCAGAGTGGCTCAAGTAGTAGAGCGCTAGCCTAGCATGTGTGAGGCCCTGAGTTCAAAGCTCAGTACCATTTAAAAAAAACCTTAAAAGTTGGAAGCACTCTTAGAGATCACAGGGTTTAAACTCTTACTTTGTGCATACTCTTCCACACCAAGATGTTATAACCAAGGTCATAACCCAGTGGGATGTTTAAGCCTTCAAATTGAGTCAGTCACTTACTCAACAAAACTTTATTAAATATTAGTACTATGCCCCGTGCTGTTCTATGTTTTAGGGAACAAAAAAAATCCACGTTCTTGTGGATTTTTATATAAGATTCTTATGTAAGAATGCAGATGATGGTAAACAAAAAGAAAATCAACATATTATATGAAGGTGAAGTTTTTTCCTTTTCCTTTAAGGCACTGTGAATGGAATCCAGGGCCTAGTGTGTGTGAGGAAAACACTCAACCTACTGAACCACACCCCAGTCTTACAAAATGAGATTTAAGCACAGACTAGAAGGTAAAGGACTCAGTCAATTGGATTTTTTTTTTTTTTGCAAGACTGGGATTTGAACTCAGGGCTTTTCACTTGCAAAACAGGCACTCTACCACTTTTGCCACACCTCTGGTACATTTTGTTCTGGTTATTTTGGAGATGGGATCTCTCAAACTATTTTCTCTGGTTGGCTTAGAACCTTGATCCTCCTAATCTCTGGCTTTCAAGTAGTTAGGATTACAGTTGTAAGCCACTAGCACCCAACTCAATTGGATTTCAGTTGAAAAGTGGTCCAAGCAGAGGAAATAGAACACACAGAGATTTCTCTTCCATTTGCTCTAATGTGAGGTTCTTTTTTTATTTTTTTCTAGACAGGTCTTATTATCCTAGGCTGACCTCAAACTCAAGATTCTCCTGCCTCAGCCTCCCCAGTCATGAGATTACAGGTGTGTACTACCAGGCCTGACTCTAATGTGAAGTTGTTAACTGGGAGTCCATGGGCTTTTGGATAGACTTCAGGGAAAGTTAACATTTCCTTCAATTATGATCATAGACAGCACATTTTTTTGTGGGGGGTGATACTGGGGTTCAAACTGAGGGCCTTTTACTTGCAAAGCAGGTACTCTACCAGTTGAGCCACACCTCCAGTCCATTTTTTGCTCTGGTTACTTTGGAGACGGGATCTCTGGAGCTATTTTCCTTGTTTAGTCTCAAATTATAATCCTCCTGATCTCAGCTTTCCAAATAGCTAGGATTATACTCGTGAGCCACCAGCGCCCCAATTGTTTTTGATATCTTTTAAGACAAGTTTTACTCTATATCCCAGGCTGGCCTTGAACTCGTGATCCTCTTG